TGGAGCCCCTGCCTAGAATCCCCCAGTGAGGGGCTGGGGTGTGGCTCGGGGGTAGAGCCCCTGCCTAGAGTCCCCCAGTGAGGGGCTGGGATGTGCTCAGGGGTAGAGCCCCTGCCTAGAATCCCCCAGTGAGGGGCTGGGGTATGGCTCAGTGGTAGAGCCCCTTCCCTGGAATCTCCCAGTGAGGGCTGGGTGTGGCTCAGCGGTAGAGCCCCTGCCTAGACTCCCCCAGTGAGGGGCTGGGGTGTGGCTCAGCGGTAGAGCCCCTGCCTAGACTCCCCCAGTGAGGGGCTGGGGTGTGGCTCAGTGGTGGAGCCCCTGCCTAGAATCCCCCAGTGAGGGGCTGGGGTGTGGCTCAGTTGTAAAGTGATTGCCTAGCATGCCCAAGGTTCTGGGTTTCAGCTCTTCAGAGAGAGAGTAGTGAAGAGAAAAAGGGATTGTTTCACCATGAAATGTGCTGATAGATTTCAGCAGTAGGTCTGTATGCAATTTGAAACTGTATGTAATTTAATCTGAAACTGAATTATGTTTTTAGTGGGAGGTTGGTTTGTATGGGGGTACACATTTGCACCCGTGTGCGATGGAGGTTTGCATGTTGAAGTTTCTTGCAAAAGGCAGAAATCAGAAGGAAGAGGGTCTGGAGAGATGGCTCAGAGGTTAAGAGCACCGGCTGCTCTTCCAGAGGTCCTGGGTTCAATCCCCAGCACCCACAAGGTGGCTCCCAACCATCTACAGTGAGGCCTGGCGCCCTCCTCTGGTGTGGTCCATGTACAGCAGAGCGCTGTACACATTACAAATAACTGTGTTTTAAAAAGAAGAAGAGGAGTGAGGCGTGGCGGATCACACCTCTCATCCATGCTGAGGAGGAGAAAGCAGGAGGAAGAGAAATTCAAGGGACACCTGTGCACCTTGTTATTTTTGTTTTCAGAGTCAGGGTTTCTCTGTGTGGCCCCGGCTGTCCTGGAACTCACTCCATAGACCAGGCTGGCCTGGAACTCAAGAGATCTGCCTGCCTCTGCCTCCCGAGCACTGGGAAGTTTGTAAAGTGCTGGGATTGTGGCGTAGCGGAAGAGCACCTGCCTGTCGCAGGGAGGGCGGCTCAGGCAGGAGACTGGTTCCAGCAGGAGCAAGGACCAAGGAGCTGGACGGCACCAGCTCCTCAGGGGAGCGTCAGCGGGGAACCAGAGTGAGACCCGCTGGCAAAGGCTTGCCCAGCGTGCGCCAGGCCTGGCCCCAAGCCCACACCAGCTGCAGTGCACGCAGGAGGTGCAGCAGGAGGTGCTGTCTCCCAGCATGTCCGTCGCAGGCCTGCGCAACTGCGGGACCAGCCCATCTCCAAGACAGACAGCCCTGGGGATGGTGGCGCGCCCCTCCCCGCAACTACCAGCCTGCCTAGAGTTCATGGGTCTCCTGAGCCTTCACTTCCTTGTCTGTAAAATGGGAACAGCTCTCCCTGCCCACCAAGGCTGGTGTGAACACTCAACAAGGTGACTACAATTTGCTAGCCCAGAGCCTTGGCCAGCAGGGCCTGTCACTGTCCTTGCAGGAGCACTGACGAAGGCTCCTCCACAGCCTGAGGCCTTGGCCAGCATGGTCTCTAGGTTCATCTAACTTGACCCTTGGGCCTGGCCTCCTCTGCTAAAAAGTTCCTGGCCCTCCCAGCCCAGGAGAAAAGGTAGCTGCTGACCTGCTGTGTGGAACTGCCCTCTCTGCCCTGTCTCTGCCACCAGCGCAGCAGATTTCTGAAGGGTGTCGGGAATCCTGCTCCACAGGGAGCCAGGCCTCTGCACAAGCCTCCTCCAGGAAGCCTGCCCTGATGGTCAAGGTTGGGTTGAGCGTCTCTGAGACTCTCACATCGCAGCATGCTTTTCAGTCCTCTGTGCCAGGACTGCCAGGCTACTCCCCTGCAGTGTAGGAGCCCAGGACACAGGACCTGGGCACAATTTTTTCACAAGGACCACGTTGGCATAAGGCCTGGTGCTGAGCAAGAGCTGAGTAGTTGCTGGATGAGGGAACGAAGAGACACACAGAAGCACAGTGACACCACTGGTCAGCAGGAACAGGAGGTCCAAGGCCACCCTGGGCAATAGCCAGAGCTCGCCCATAGGCAGAAACGAAACAAAAAGGCACACGTCATATAGACAGCCATACGAATACATGCTACGAATACACGCGGGTTGTGCTTGTACTGAGCAACATGCCTTTGCATACATATGTGTATCAACAAGCTCTGAAAGGGAAGCATAGATTTGGGAGCAAGGAGGGGCATATGGGAGAGTTTGGGGTAAGAAAAGGGAGCAGGGAAATGATGTAATTATATTATCATCTCAAGAAATAGAAGAAGTTTTAAAAAGTTTGGGCTGGAGAGATGGCTCGCCAACTTAAAAACATGTGACTCTTGTTGGCAAGCCAGGTTGGATTCCCAGCACCCACACAGGGCTTACAACCCTCAGCTTCAGGGATCTGACACCTCTTCCTACCTTGGGCAGCAGGCACACAGGTCACGCATACATACATGCAGGCAAACACACATATAATCTAAAAGTAAATTCAAAACAAAACAAACAAACACAGAGCCGACTGTGCTGAGGCCCCCCGCCGTCCCAGCTGTGCCGAGGCTGAGGCACCCCCCGCAGTCCCTATATTTGGGACAGAATCAGAAGGGTCATCCTTGGTATGTTCTGGACCAGCCTGGGGTATGTGAGAATCAAAAAACAAAAACAAAAGACCAAACCTAAGAAGAAGGCGGGGACAAAGAGGAGGAAAGACAGATGAATAGACAGACAGACAGACAGACAGAGAAGCTGACCACTCCCTCGGGCTTTCACACTACAGATACCTGACCAGAGCTGGTGGCTAGACCACACAGATCCACCCCACAGTTTGGAGACGGCGCAAGAACCATTCGCAGAACCAAGAACCCAGATCTCCCAGAATCTCACTAGCTTTCACCCTGCTCCGTTCACCCGCAAGCAGGCACACCTTTGTCAGGAGCCTGTAGGAGGCAGGCTCATCGTCAGCCCGCCTCCCAGAGCTCAGGGTTTCCAGCGTTTACCCCAACCATTCCCGAAGGAAACGTGACCCCAAGCCCCGCCTCCCGCGCTGCCCTGGGGGAAGCAGGTGGGGAGCCTGGGACCAGGGCACACACAGTCATGGTAGGAGGCAGAGTGCACACTCAACCGCAGGCTGAGGGCTGAGGCAGGCCAGCCTGGGCCACAGACAATAACAAAAGCAACCAACCCAATTAGACCCTTGGGTTATTTTGAAACAGGGTCTACCATATAGCCCAGGCTAGCCTCTAACTTTGGTCTCAGCCTTTTAAATACTCAGATTACAAGCTTGTACCAACACTTTAATTTTTATTTTTGTTTTGTTTTTTTGAGACAGGGTTTCTCTGTGTGGCCTTGGCTGTCCCGGACTCGCCTTACAGATCAGGCTGGCCTGGAGCTCAGGGCTCCACCTGCCTCAGCCTCCCGAGTGCTGGGATCAGAGGCCAGCGGCCATGCCGGCTGCACTGCGGCTCTTAGCTGAGACTGGTGGCTTCTTAGAGGCAACATGTGTCTCGCACACCCACATTCAACCAGCCTGCTCCCGTCTCACTGGAGGAAACCAGAACTGCCTCCCTGCAGGGCTCCCACTTCAGCCTCTGCCCACTCGGGACTCAGTTTCCACACACCAGGCTCCGGCAGACGACAATGCCTGCTCTACACCATTTGGTGGCGAAACTGCTCTGGCTCCTCACCTCCCTCTCCTGCACAGACATCCCAGACAAACCTGGCCACCGACGCTACGACACACCAGCCTCCCTCACGCTGCACAGCGGCCACTCACCTCTGCAGCCCTGTGAGCGCCTCTAAGGCTCCGGTGGCTGTCCTTCTGTCCCTACCCTAGGCCCACTCCCCACCTCTACCTCAGCCCCAGGTTCAAGCCCAAGGAGCACACAAAGCATGGTGCACACCTGTAACCCCAGAATGAGGGAGGTAGAGGCAGGAAGATGAGGAGTTCAGGGCCAGCCTCAACTACACAGCCATCTACTTCAAGCCACTGGGATACCTAAAGATTCTGTCTTAAAAAAAAAAAAATCCTGCAGGCTGGAGAGATGGCGCAAAGGCTAAAACAAAAAGACTTTTTTTCAACCTGTCACCCAGGCTACCTTAAACTCACAAGCCTCTCACAAGCCCCCCTCCTGCCTCTGGCACCAGTCAGAGTATATCTGACTAGTGTACCTTCTTACCTGTTTCAGCCTACTAGATTTTCGCAGACACTTGCTCAAAAGCATCTCACACTCCTGTTCCCTCCCATCCATGGCCCTGTGTCAGCGCCCTGCGGCAGATGTCTTCCCTGGGCTTCCCTGCTCTCTGAAGCCCTTAAGAACGGGACTGCCTTTGCAAGGCTGCTCCTTCTTTCTAGAATGTTCTTCCTCTCAGTTCCTGGCTGATACCCATAGACGCCTTGGTCTCAGCTCTAACATCTCTTCCAGAGTGCTTCTCTGCTCTCCTCAGTCCTCTGGTATGTCACTGTTAGGGTATGACATACTGTAGGACTCCCTGGCCTTCTGCTATGTCACGGTGGCATATACAATTTCTGGCGCATGAATGACTGAAAAAGCAGTTTTATTGAAGTATTTAAACACCACAACAACCCTAATGGCATTTATTGGACATTTACATGTGATGGCTATTCTTGGTTGTCAACTAAGACCCAAGTACCCGGGCACACCTGTGAGGAATTTTCTTTCCTTAGCCAAATCATGTAAAGTGGAAAGACTCACTTACAATCCAGATCTCCTTTTTTCTTTTTTTGTTTTTCGAGACAAGGTTTCTCTGTGTAGCCCTGGCTGTCCCTGAACTCCCTCTGTAGACCAGGCTGGCCTCAAACTCAGAGCTCTGCCTGCCTCTGCCTCTGCCTCCCCAGTGCTGGGATTAAAAGTGTACCCCACCACCACCTGGCCGGATCTCTTGAGATGGGAAGATCCACCTTTAATCTGGGCGGGACCTTCTGCTGGTGGTGTACGGAAAATGCATGAAAGAAGAAACCTTGCTCTCTTTCCCCGCCTGCTGTCACTTTCACTAGCAGGTCCGTTCCTTCACTGGCATTAGAACCGACTTCTTTGTTACTCCGGCATATACTGGATTTCCGGACCTTCCATTGGTTGACAGCCACTGCTGGGTTAGCTGGGCCACAGCCTGTAAACCATTCTAATCTATAAGGATTCATTCTGTAAGTTCTGTCTCTCTAGAGAACCCAGACTAATACACTGTGCCAGGCATCACGCGTGTTTATTTATTATCTGATGCCTTTCCTTTTTTTTTTTTTTTTTAACTAAGGTAAGTACTACAGTTGTGTCCCTTTGGAGTAAAGGAACCAGCCTTCGAAATTCATCAGTCCAAAAATCGCGCAACTCGTATGAAACAGAGCCTAGATCCTAAGCCAGGCGAGCGAACGCAGAGGCCAAGGTCAGTAATCCTGGACGAAAACCCGTCACGGACACACTCTCCAAACATTCCCTCTCCTCCGAGTTAGGGCCCGGGCCGGCTGCAACCCGGGGAGCTCGGCAAAAGTCCTGGGACGCAGCCGGGCTCTAGGAATGTGCTGTGTTGAATGAACTGGCGACCGAGTGAGTGACCCGCACGGCCTCACTCACCCTCGATAAGCCACTCGCAGTTGCCATTGACGCTGTAGTTGCCCGCACCGTCCGTCACGAAGCCCGGCGCCTCCCGAAGCACCTGCCGCTGCCCCTTGCAGTCACCCGCCAGGACCCCGAGCGACCAGGGCCCCAGCACTGCCAAGGCCAGCGCCAGGGCCGCGGCCAGAGCTCCGCCCAAGGCCATCCCCGCCGCCGGCGCCGAGCCTCAGAGGCCGGGGGGCCGTGGAGACCCGGAGGGGGCCCTGGATGGCAGCGAGGCCCCGCAGACGCAACCTTCACGGGCGCGGCGCGGCCCTGCAGTCCCGGCCAGGGAACGGGCCGCGGTGGGCGGGCCCTGCGGACCCGGGGCCGGCCCTGGGGACCGGGTCGTGGCGGATAGGGCCGCCCGCTAGGGACCGGAGGGGTCCCTGATGGACGCGAGCCCCCATAGGGGGAGAGGCGACCGCACAGCCGGCGCCCAGCTACCGCCCTCGGGCCGCCGACGCTGGGCCGCCCGCGCCTCCCTCCCGAGCCCGCCGGGCTGGACCACAGAGAGCCGGGGACTCCCGGCCAGAGCGGCCCGAGGAAGCCCCGCCGGGCGGGCGGGAGCCGCGCAGCTCCGCGGGCGGACGGGCCGGGAGGAGGAGGCGAGCGGCGGCGGGCCAGAGCGGCGCTGGGAGGCCCGCGGCGCGCCGGCCCCGCCCCTTCCAGGACGACTTCCGGGAGGCCCCGCCCGCCGCTTCCGGCCGCCGCCGCTGGAGGGCGCCTGCGCCGCTCGCCGGGCCCCACACCGGAAATGCCCTCCCCAGAGCCCGCGCCGCCCCCCCCCCCCCCCGGGCTTCGAAGGTTCCTAAGCGCCGTCAGGACGTGAACGAAGCCGGAGGCCCGGTCGGGCGGCCCAGACGCGCGGCCTCCTCGCGGGGGACCCGAGTTCGAGGCCTCGCGCCCGCGGAGGCGCAGGCCCGGCAGCGCCCCCCTCCGGCGCCGCACGCCCCCCCCACGCGCGCCGCAGACACGCGGCCTTGCTCTATCCCTGTCATTATTAGTTTTAAATTAAGACGGAAGAGAAACCGGGCTGTAGGTAAAAACTGAACGAATCCTCTTTATTTTGGCAAGAAGAGACGACGTCTCGCTGCCGGGAGCCACGGGAGGGGGGGGGGGCCCGGGTCCGAGGTCTCCGTCCCCGAACGGTGGCCCGAGGGCCGCGGGGCCCTGGAGAGTCACGGGAAGGGTCCAGGCGTCGTCTCGGCGGTCCCGGAGTCCCGCGGGGTCAGAGGTCTCGGCGGGGGCCGGGGGGGCGGAGGTCGCGGAACAGCGGAAGCCCGGATCCCGGAGCCGTTCGGGGCAGGGGCTGAGGGAGGGGACGCGGAGAGCGGCTCCCGCGGGGCCGTTTGGCACGGGGGGGGAGGGGAGG